CCTCTTGAGTCCTCTGTGGCCACGCCACTGACTCTGGGCCCAAGAGTCCCCAGGTCTCATGCTTTGGTTTTGGTACCACATATGCAACAAGTAGGAGAAGAATGTCAATCAAAATGGCCATCAATGGTCAATTTTGTATCTGAATGATATCTTCCTGACACATGCTTGAGAAAAGCAAGGACATTCAGTAGGGCACTTAGGGGAGCTAGCTGTACTGATACGTATAGATCCCAGTTCATTCTTTTAAATTGCTCCTGTTATATTTTGGATTATCAGATGGGTGTGACTGCTGAGTTGTTTACATTTATATTGCCCTGATTACTAATGAGGCTGAATCTTATATTTATTTGTTATTCAGGTTCCTTTGTGGATTATCTGCTATGTCATTTGCCCATGTTTTTCTTGGGTTAGCCTTTTTTCAAATGCCTTCTTTGAGGCTGTGACTTTTCTTTTTCTTTGTTTTTGGTGTCTCCTTACTCTTAAAGAACAACTCGTGCCTGCCAGCATGTCTTCCTTCATTTGCTAGCTGTTTTTTGTATACCAGGTACTGTATGAAGTGGTTTGCATGCTTTATCTTATGTCATCTTTACAATGACCCTATGTAGCAGGACAAGGTAAGTGTTCCCACTATAGAAATGAAGTAGCTAGTCCAGATTGCCCAGGTAGAAAGAGACAAAGTTGGGAGGCAAACCTGGCTCTACTTGACTCCAGCGGTAGACTGTTAAACCTGATACCATTAGAACTGGTAAAAATGAAGTCTAGAATGTCCATTGTAAAGGCTTACATTATGGAGTTCATTACAAAGGTAGATGGAAACACTTATGGTGGTGTCCAACCTTGGCCATGTTGTTGTTGTTGTTGTGTGCCATGGAGTTGGTTCTGACTCATAGCGACCCTGCACAGGGTTTCCGAGGCTGTTAATCTTTACTGGAGCAGAATGCCTCATCTTTCTCCCGCGGAGCAGCTGGTAGTTTCGAACTGCTGGCCTGCGGTTCGCAGCCCGATTTGTAACCACTACGCTACAAGAGCTCCTTAACCTTGGCCATACAGCTCCTGAAAAGCTTTAAAATACACTGTTGGTCAAAAGATGGGAGTAGGTAATCTTGCAGTCAGTCCAGGAACAGAGAACCCTAGGACCATCGAGGGAGAGGTGCATGAGTGGAATGTGAGACCCTATCCAGAGAAGCAGCGATGCCAGAGATGGAGGCAGACATGAGGACATGGAGGGAGGGAACAGCTGAGGACTTTAGGGAAAGAGAAAGGCTGTGTGCTGGCATCCAGGTGCTGGTGACCAGGAGACAGGCTTGTTGAATGTGTCCTTTGGTTGTTTAAATTATTATATATTCCTGAGTGTTTTTGTGTACATCCCTCCTTCCCCCTGCAAAAACAACAACAACAGAGAAAATAGAAGTAGAACTACCAGCTGATCCGTGGGAGAAATATGAGGTGTTCTGCTCCCGTAAAGATTTGCAGCCTTGGAAACTCTGTGCAGGGTCACTATGAGTCAGAACTGACTCCATGGTACTTAACAACAACAACAAATGATGATGCACAGAGAAGATTGTAATCATTACAATGAAACAATGTGTGTAAAACTAATGTTCCCCCATGTAAACTAATCACTCAATTCACAATAAAAACTTAAATATCTATCTATCTATATCTATATATAGTGTTGGTTTAGTAAGCCTGAGTATGGGGATTTTCTCTTAAAGTTCCCCCAAGGTGCCAGAGGTGGGTGGGTGAGAACTTCTAAGCATCGTATGCACCCAACACGGTTTCAATCCCAACAACCATTTCTGAAACATAACACTAGATCATGGAGAAGAATTATACATCAATGTCCAATGAATACCACCAAAACTGGGTGCATTATACATTTTATTATTGCAAAGATCAAAGGGCGGCACCACCTTTTCAACAAGGGTAAAGGGATTGTAAAACATCTTCACGCACAGTGTCACTGCTACAAAATTTATACCTGTGAAGGAAAACATTTTCAGTGTGAGGCCCTTTTGCTTGTGGGAATGTGATCTCAGATAAGCAAATACCATTTAGCCAACCCCCTGGAATTCAGATTGCTTTGACTGAAGATTTTTCTTGCCCCAGGCATAGATTCTCACTGAAAAAACTCCCTCAAGAAACAACTGCCCCTCAGTGTGGGCTCTTGATGAACTAAAAGTAAATTAGCCATGTCAAAGCAAGGTTTCAGAAAACTGAGGTAATCTTTGGCGGGCTTGCAGTTTTTGGCCTTGAAATGAGTTCCCGGCTGCCCAGAGGGACTTTCTATGTCTGGTTAAGATGAGGAAACTCTGCTTGTATGGATGTAAAATGGTACAGCCACTTTGGAAAACAGTCTGGTGGCCCCTCTATAGGGTAAACATAGATCTACCCTATGATCCAGCAATTCTACTCCTAGAGAAATTCCAAGAGAAATAAGAATGCATCTCCATACAAAAATCCAGACACAAGTATTCATAGCAGCATTATTCATAATAGTCAAAAACTGGAAAAAATTCAAATGTCCATTAACAACGAATGGGTAAATTAAATATGGTATATTTGCACAACGGACTATCTATTCTTCATCAATTAAAAGGAATGAAGTCCTGATCCATTCTACAGCATGAATAAAGCCTTTAAAATATTTGCTAAGTGAAAGAAATCAGACACAAAAATACAGACATTGTATGATTCTGTTTATATGGAATGCCCAGAATAGAAAAATCTATAGAGGCAAAAAGTAGCTTAGTGGTTGCCTAGGGGTCTTGGGGTGATGGCTAATGGGCATGCAGTTTCTTTATGGGGTGTTAACAATGTCCTAAAATTGATTGTAGTAGTAGTTGTACAGCTTTGTGACTCTACTAAAAATCATTGAATTGTACACATTAAATGGGTGAATTGTATGATATGTGAATTGTATTTCAATAAAGAGGACTTTTACTAAGTCATTGAATTGTACACATTAAATGGATGAATTGTATGGTATGTGAATTGTATTTCAATAAAGAGGACTTTTTAAGATCATGAAAGGTTCCTGCTCTTGAGTTGGTACATGGTTAAATGGGTGGGGAGAAAGGGATGGAGGGATGGATGGATAGGTAGATGGGTGATGGGTGATTGGATGGATGGATGGACGTGTGTACACATGAATGAAAGAATACATAAATATAAACAGACAGACTTACTCAGTCTCATCTTCACCACTTTGCACTGTGATTTGGGAAGCCCCCAGTGTGGGCCGGAAGAGATTTATCACGTGGTTGTTCCAGAGGAACTTAACTTTCTCGAGTTTTCCAACATTGAGGTCCACATCAATGTCAAGCATATGACTTGCATCTGGTTTGAGGGATCCTCTGAAAATGTAGATATTCGATGTTAAGTTAGTTGGACATATGGATACATGAGGTGATAATTATGTATCAGTTCTTCCAAACAATGGCTATCGTTATTGGTTTTCTGTAAATGCCTTTAATGTCTAACAGACAGACATATATTTGTGTAGAACATGTCTTTACAAAATACTGCTCTTTAGATAGATTTCCACTGTCTTAGAGTTTCCCTAGAGCAGAGTCAAGTGTTTGGGGTGGGATATTAGCTCTGTAAATTCACTATGTGGTTGTTGTTAAGTGCCTTCAAGTTGGTTCTGACTCATAGAAACCATATACATGGTTTCCAAAGAGCAGCTTGTGGGTTTCAATCACCGACACTGTGGTTAGAAGTCCAGTGCTTATCCTACAGTGTCACACCCGGACAGAACTAATTTATATGGTGTCTCATTTTTAAAGTACCATACGGTTTAGCTGAGGGCATTTCTTAGCATCTCATGTGTAGCACAGAGCCACTGGGTGGTATAAGGTGTTCACAGGCTTGTCTGATAATCAAGAGGTTGAAAGTTTGAGTCCTCCCTGAGGCACTTTGGAAGAAAGGTCTGGCAATCTACTTCCAAAAAATAAGTCTTAACAGTGGTATGGAGCACAGGTCTACTTTGAAATATATCGGGTCACTGTGAGTTGAAGTAGATTCTACAACACCTGGTTTTCATATGTAACACAATAAGTTGTTAAAGGATTTTAAGTCAACATGGGACTTATTATGTAAAAGTCAGAGCAGAAAATGGAATGGAATTCTACAGTACAGATTATGTATTCATCCAGCACATACATACCAAGTGCCTCCTGTGCCCACAATATGCCCAGTGCTAAGTCTGTCACTGAATGGTTTAAAATCAAGAACATTGTGCACCAGGATTGTATTTTTTCACCATACTTAGTTAATCTGTATGCTGAGTAAATAATCTGAGAAATTGGATTATATGGAGAGAAACATGGCATCAGGATTGGAGGAAGGCTCATTAACAATCTGTGATATGTAGGTGATACAACCTTGCTTGCTGTAAACAAAGAAGACTGAAAACACTTAATGATGAAGATCAAAGGCCACAGTTTTTGGTATGGATTGCATCTCAATGTAAAGAAAACAGAAATTCTCACAGCTAGACCAATAAGCAACATCCATATAAATAGAGAAAAGATTGAAGTTGTCAAAGACTTCATTTTCCTCAGATCAATCATCAACACTCATGGAAGAAGCAGTCAAGAAATCTATGTACTGTATTAGTCAAAAAAAAAAAAAAAAAAAGTTTGAAGAGCAAAGATGTCAGCTTGAGGACAAAAGTGCTCCTGACCTAAGCCATGGTATTTTCAATAGCCTCATATGCATGTGAAAGCTGGACAATGAATAAGAAGACCACAGAAGAATTGATGCATTTGAGTTATGGAGTTATAGGACAATATTAAGGGCACCACTGACTTCCAGAAGAGCAAACAAATCTGTGTTGGAAGAAGTACAAACAGAATGCTCCTTATAAACCAAGATGGCCAGACTTCATCTCCCACACTTTGGACATATTATCAGGAAGGACTAGCCTCCGGAGAAGGACATCATGCTTAGTAAAGTGGAGGGACAGCAAAGGAGAAGGAGAACCCCAACGAGATGGATTGACATGGTGGTGACAACAATGGGCTCAAAGTTCTGTTCTGTCATACAGAGGGTCACTATGAGTTGGTCTCAACTGGACAGCACCTAACAACAATGCCAAGCCTATCACAACAACCATAATGATGCTCTATCAAAATTATGAACATTTATTAGCTATAACCAAACACCTTGAGGGAATAAATGGCTGGGCGGGGGGTTCAGGACATCCAGGTCAATTGGCATAACAGAGTCCACAAAGACAACAGACTACATTCTACTTTGGCGAGTAGCAACTAGAGGCTTAAAAGCTTTGGAACAGCCATCTTGGCTGCAACTTCTGGTCTCCTTTCCGAATCAAAGAAGTGTGAAGAAAATTAAAGATGCAAGAAAATAATCCAAAGGGAATTTATCCTGCAAAGTTACAGCACTGCCTATTATAAAGCAGTTTGTAAGCATTTTGTTTGTGTGTGAATAATCTATTATGACTTACTTGAAGATCTCATATTGCTTTGTGTTCCCATTACTTCCATACAAAGCGATCCTGATGTAGCCATTCACATTTTTTTTCCCAGCAAGTGTGACTGATACTCTGTACCGCCAAACTGTCCAGAAAAATACAATCAGTTCAATGAACTAACCCATCTTGCTAAATAAGGATTCTATGGAAATATTGTTGTCCCAGGGTCTGACTCTCCCATCTCCCGAAAAGCAGAAATGTGACTAATGGTTTTCTTTAATGAAGGTGGGTCCGCAGGAATCCAGTTCTAAGTGGGGGATTCAGAAGACATTAATCGAATAGTTCAATAGAATTCCTTACCAATCAGGCTGATATACCTTTTAAAATTATTTGCAATAATTTTTAAATGAGTAAAATGGAGACTCACGGGTAAAGTTACCACTGTCCCCTGTGTTCAGGAAAAAGGTCTGTTCCACGGCACTGGTTTTCCCCTTAAACTGGTCAGCATAGTGTCCCATTTTGGGGCATCCTCCACTTGGACAAGGGAAACATCCATGCTATTTAAAAAAATGAAACAACCCCCAAACCCCCCAGCATCTGTCTGTTAGTGATGGGCCTTTGACTCCGTCATTCACTCATCCAACCTTCTTCCTATCCATTTTCCAATCTGTTTGTTTATTCATTCATCCATTCCACTCACCCATCTTCTCATGTGTCCATTTGGCCATCCATCTACCCATTCGTCCTCTGTCTACTCTCTCATTTACCCATCCATTCTTCCATCCTTCCATCTGTCCATGCCCAGTATTATGTATAGAACTCTGTGAGTCAGAATCAACTCATTGGGAAACAACACCATGTATGTACACATCTGCATCTAGGGGGCTTCAAAAGTTTGTGGAAAAATTCCACTATCTTTTAGTTCCATTTTCCATGAACTCTTGAAGCCCTTCTCTGATGTGTATAGATGGATAGATAGAGAAAATGAACCCAAGCAATTATAGCAAAACTGCTACCACTAGGTGATGGGTGTACAGGTGTTCACTGTATGCTTGTTTCAACTATGGGGAGAGTTGACATTTCTGTGCCCTGTCCCTCTTGCCCACCCTACACCCTGAGGAAGGCTTCCTGGGGCTGATTCATAAGCTGCCAACTTACATCTCTTTGTTTTGTTCTAAGCCAGAGAGACAAAAACATCACTAACATTATCTCCCTAGGGTCCCAGCATGACCCACCTCCTGAAACTCATCATAGGAGTCACATGGGTAGCCCAGGAAACCATCTGGGGTGATGATGCTGCTTGAGTAATACTTGTAGCTTCTTAGGTGGTTACAGGCTACAAAATCCCGGGTTCCTGGGAAAGCAAAGATGGTGCAAGCTCACAGGAGGCACGTCACTTCAGGAATATAAATCATTGTAACCAACAGAGGAATCACACATGGTGTCAGCATTCCTGAGTGCCTTGGTCACAACTCAAAACTTCTATCATTGACTTAGACATACTTAGAGGCAAGCAGGAAATTTGGGAACTTGCTTCGTAACGGTAGTTAGTCTTCCCACCATTGTGTCTATCTGCTGAGGACAACCACCAGATTGAAGACTGGTGAGTTTTTGTTTTTTTTAAGTTTTTATTGTGAACTGAGTGATAGTTTACATGGAGAACATCGGTTTTACACCATTGTTTCATTGCAGTGATTACAATCTCCTCCGTGCATCATCATTCAACAGTATTTGCTTCTATTTCCCTTGTTGTTGTTGTTGTTGTTTTTCAAGAGGGGGATGTACACAAAAATACTCAGGTATATATAATAATTTAAACAAGGAATGGCGAGTTTTAACAAGTGCTTTTCTCTAGTCTCCAGGGGACAGGCAGGCAATGGGAATGACTAAGGATATTGCTGGGGGCAGAGAAGTACATGTTAGCTTCTAAACAATTGTTGTCATATTAAAAGAGAAGTCCAGATTTCATCCATCTTCTGATTTTTTATGAGAAGCCAGAATCTTTTCTATGAAAATCTTTCCCTGCTTAAATGGTGGCAATACATTTCCATTTTTAGCACAGCCACTGTGAAGGCCAATCAAATACGGCCATGAGTTATATCCTGTCCGTGAGCCACAGTTTGAGAACTCTGGGCCACTCTGAGTAGGCCTGTTCTAAGAACCAGCTTTTCCATTCCTATGAATTCTGGTTGAAAAATTTCTCTTCTTTGCTATTCTGGTTACAAGGTAAGAGCCATGGAGAGGCAGACCACGCTGCCCCTCCAGCCACCCTTGTGTTGCATTTTATTTACCATATATTTTTTTTTTTTCTTTAGACCAAAGTCTTCTTGCTTGGAAAATTATTTTCCATTTCCTCAGAGACTTGGTATAAAACATTCAATGGTGTGGTCCATGGAGACAGTAAACACATCTGAGGACCACTCCTGGGGTATCTGGTGGTCTTTGTTCACCACCCCTGAGAAAGGACCCTTTCCCTTTGTGTTGAGTGGATTAGCTCTCCACAGAGACTTGCCCCACCAGGCCCCATGACCCAGCCAGTGCCTTCCAGCCAAAGCCAGATGCCAAACGCCCCATGCCAATGTGCCTTCTCAGACAACAGAACCTGTTTCAAACTTAATTGTTTCTTTCATCCCAAATTGCAGCCCAGAGATCCCACAATAGAGAAGAAGGTGGATTTAATTGTTCCTCGATGCCCAGCGTCTGAAGGCTCAGAGCTCAACACAATAGAAACACACTCCAGAGTTCATGGACTTGTTCCCTCTAAATTGCTTCTTTAATTAAACCTGGGCTCTTTTCTATTATGTGTACCTGCTTGTCATTTCTGGGAGTGGGCAGCTATTATTGTAACTCTGGGGTTCTTTCAGGGATTGTAGAACAGTCGCGTCTTGCCGGAAGTTACCTGGTGTGGTGCTCACAAGGGGTCATAAAGTCTGATTATTTGTCAGTGGTTGTGGCTGCTGCTTTATTGACAGCTCTTTAAACATGAGAAATATGAAAATACCACCCAAGGCCACTTAATTCAATTTAACAGCCTATGCTGGGTCTTGAGTGAGGTTCTGGGGCATCTGGGATACCCACACCACAGTCTCGTGCTTTGGAGAACTCCAGGCTTAGAAAAACAGAGACTGACATAAAATTGTTACAAGCTCATAGCATTCACTTTCAGGAAGGAGAGTGGGGGAGTCTAGTTTCGGGGGAGGGGTAGCTGAAACAGTCCAAGGTCAGCCAAGAGGCAGCTAATGTGATGGGGCTTTGATGACACCTAATAGTAGGTGTGGAGTCCTGATGTGGCGCTGAGGGCTAATGCGCTGGGCTGCAAAGTCTATTTGAACTGCAAGGTCGGTGACTCAAATTTACCAATTGTCCCTTGTAAATCCTATACAGGGTCTCTATGATGTTACTATGAACAGGTTCCACCAAAACTTCCAGATTAAATAGAGTAGTAAGAAACGCCTGGTGATATACTTCCAAAAGTACGCCAGTGAAAACCCTGTGGGACAACACACCCCATGGTGGACGGGGCAGGGCTGGACAATACTTCGTTCCATTGTGCATGGGTTGCCACGGGTCAGGGGCTTACAGCAACAACAGTGATAACAATATTAGGGATAGTGAGCCTATTGGCTCAGATAAATGGCCTCACACACAAAGCTCCTAGGAGCCACTAGGTCCCCCAGGCCTCTAGCTGCCCCCTCCAAGTACATGCTTCCCAAACCCAGAGGGCTCGTACAACCTTGGTCTGCTTCCTTTTCATCCCTAATACCCAACAACAGCAAATGGCAAGACAAAATCGTCTAAATCTTCACTTAATCTTGTCAAACCGGGGCAGAGATGGAGACAGTACAGGCTGAAGGATAAGATTAAGGTTTTGCAGCCAGAAACTGGACTTATATATAAAGTGACCTTTGGCAAGTTTTGTGACTTTTCTGAGCCCCAGTTTCCTCATCTGTAAAATGGGACTGCCCAGCATAGCTGCCTCATGACATTGCTGTGAAAATGGCTGGCACAGAATAAGGACTCAAAAAATGGCAAATTTGGTATCCTGAAGGCCACACACTCTTGAACTCACCTACCTTCCCATATCCCATTGATGTCCACAATGGTAGACAGAATGTTTTTCTGACATCCCGGCATATGCTTTCCTCCATTTGGAAAGAAATCCAAGTGGCCCACCTTTTGACTCATTCCAAACCCTGAAACATTTGAAGCAGAGGTGAGCAGGAGGTAAGTGGTCCCAAAGTTAGTTGTGCATAGTGGTTACGAATCGGGTTGTGAACCTTAAGGTCAGCAGTTCGAAACTACCAGCTGTTCCACAGGAGAAAGATGAGGCTTTCTGCTCCGGTCAAGATTTACAGCCTCAGAAACCCTGTACAGGGTCGCTATGGGTCGGAACCTACTTGACAGCACTTAACAATAACAACAACAACAACAGGGCAACCGAAGCACGGGTCTTCTCAGCAAATTCTCTAAGCTCAGCCATCACTGCCCAAAGTTCCAGGAGACGTGTGCTGAGTAAGTGAGGGAGGGGTGGGTAAAGGAAGTGCGACAGGGGGAGATGGGCTCCGGGCGAGAGCATGCACACACATGCTTATGTGTTAGTAAGTCTGTGTGTCTTGGGGAGACCTTGGACAGCAGTGATATGCCTTCATATCAGTATATAGTAGCAGGCTCCCATCAGAATGTGCAAGTTGGTGTCATTTTTATTAATATTTTCACCTCTACAAGGTCGGTGGTTCAAACCCACCAGCTGTTCCTTGGAAATATTATCAGGGTAACTGTGAGTCAGAACCAACTTGACGACACTTAACAACAACACTCATCTGAAATGTTCATCACTATTTTATATTGATGCCATATACAATTGATCATTATGCTAGGAGTCAGAGCGCACTGTCTAGCCACACTGGTTTTAGGAGCACACAACAATGTGATTTCTCTCACAGCTTCTGTGAAGTTGAGTAGTTTCTTCACCTCACTGAACCTCAGTTGCCTCAGTTAGAAAATGGTGACCATCGTGCCCACTTTTAGGGCTGTTACAAGGATTGATGTTCACTTAGCACCCACACGCTGAGTCAGTTCCAACTCACAGTAACCCTATAGTTCAGAGCAGAACTGCTCTCTACGATTTCTGAGCCTGTAAGTCTCTATAGGAGTGGGCAGCCTCACCCTTCTCCCTAGAAGCGGCTGGTGGGTTTGAACTTTGGACCTCACAGTCAGTAGTCCAATGCTTAATACACTGTGTCTCTGGGGCTCCTTTCATTCAGCGCAGTCTATGGTAAACACTCACTGATACCATCACCATTAAAAACATCTTGATGGTCAAAGTTTCATGAGCGGTTATGTTAGAACATACCCACAAGAACACATTGAGTTTGGAAGTTTTGACAAAATCAATAAGAAAGAAAACGCACCCCCAAATGCACTTGATGTTTTGTAAGAGCAGGTCACATCTCAATCACTGTACATTTTCCCCTCCGGATATTGGCAGACTGGGGAAGGATGCAGGGTTTGAAGATTGCGGAATGCCTATCAGAGGCTGTAGCAGTGATAACAGTCCCACCCAGGGCCATGGTTGCTATCACTGGCACTGTTGTGGTTGTGAAGTACCACGGACTCTGTTCCGATTCATAGTGATCCTGTATAGGGTTTCAGAGGCTGTATATCTTTGTAGGGGCAGAAAGCCTCCTCTTTCTCCTGCTGGCACTATACTGTTGTTTATTTGTTGCTGGCACCCATTTTGACTGGTGAGTACTTAAGCCATTCCTGAATTAGCTATTTTGAATTTTACCCTGGTAGTATGTAGTATGCATGGGGCTGCAAGGTCAGTGGTTCAAACTCACCAACTGCTCCTCGGAAATGCTATACAAGGTTGTTATGAGTTGGAACCCACTCAAAGGCACTTAACAACAACAAAGTATAAGAGCGTGTGTGTGTGTGTGTGTGTGTGTGTACCTGGGCTATGGCCCTGGTCACTAGGAGGTGGAGTGAGGGACTCACCCAGGAAAGGGATTATGGGAGCAGCATCTGTGTGAATCACGTCCACAAACATGGCGTCTGATGGGTCCAGCCGAACCTCCTCTTCTGTGCCCTGGAAGCATGGCTCTGCCGGATCCAGCCCTGAAAGAGAGGACATGTCCAGATACTCTGTACCCTCAGACTGGCAGTAACAATCCTGGGCAAAGGGTCCCAGACCCTGGACATGTTTGTCATCCATGTTCAGAAGTGCACCTGCAGTTCCTCATCTACTCAGACGTGAGAGAGGATGGGACAGAAAGGTCTGAAGTGGGGCTGCTGCCTGGCCAACAACAGTCAGATACCCCAGAGACTAGCTCCATGAAGGATCTGGTGTCCTCCTGCCGCTTCAATTCCCTTTTCCTTTTTGCTCACACATGCTCCTATTTTACTACTGTTCTTGGAGACATCAAGCTCCGTGGCCTACCAGCTCCTTCTCAGTCCCTGAGACTTGAACAGTCTGTTCCTCTGTCTTTGCTCATGCTGTTCCCTAGCCTGCCGTGCCCTTCCCCACATTCTCACTTCATCAAAATCTTTCTCCTCCATGAATTCAAATGCCACCTTCTCAGTGAGATCCCCTCCATCCTAGCATGGGAATTTTGGCCTTCCTTTTCTCAATCCTGCCGAGGATTATTTTGCATATATTAATTCAGCTTTAATTTTCTTTGCCTATGGTGGCTCCATATGATAAGTACTGGAATGCAAACCACAAGGTCTGCGGTTCAAGCCTGCCAACCGCTCTGTGGGATAAAGATGAAGCTTTCTGCTCTTACAAATATGTAAAGTTTCAGAAACCCTAATAAGAGTCTCTACAAGTTGGAATCAACTGTCGGCATTTAACAGCAACAACAATGCCTATGTGTAGTGGGCATGCATTTTTGCCTAGCAATTCATTCATTCAGTATTTACTGAGAACTTCCCCCAGCGGCATGTTTCAGCTGTCTTCTTTCATTTTTCTGCCTATGGCTGGCAACTGCTTAGTAAATAGTTATTATTGTTGTTAAGTGCCGTCGAATCGGTTCTGACTCACAGTGACCCCGTATAGGGTTTCCAAGGAGCAGTTGGTGAGCTTCAACCGCAGACCCTGAGGTTCAAACCAACTTGGCATTCCAGTGCATTAACCCACAGCGCCACACCACGACTCCAATCGATAGTCGTGGAACTAGTGAATTCATTTTATTTCCAAGTCAGTTCACCTAGGACACAATGCCAGATTCTAGAAATAACAGCTCTGAAGTCATGTGTTTAGCAATCAAATTACATTTTACTTTCCCTTATAAATGTATTTTTATTTATAATTTCTATTTTTAAATATACATTACACACAGTGCATGAGAAGGCTTCAAAAAGTTCATGGAAAATGGAATGAAAAGTAAATGGAATTTTTCCACGAATTTTTTGACGCCCCTTGGTACTTTCCTCACCTAAAATCAGTTGCCAGAGGACCAGAAGGGGCCTTCGCCAGGGAAATACACAAAGCAGACTTCCACCTTTCGCACCCGGGTTTCCCACCCTGTGGTTTTAGAACCCCCACACCCTGGGTTTTTGGGTCCCCGCCCCCCACGAGGAGTCTGGGGTCTTCCTCCCGGGGTTGGGGATCCCTGGTCTGCCCTCCGCGATCCCTACCTGTGATCCTGCCCAAGCGCCCCTCCAGCCTCCTGCCGGCCTCCGCGGCCGCGTGGGAACCCAGACTGTGGCCGATCAGGTGCACGTTTTCGGGGCTATGACCCGTCTCGCTCTGCGGAGGGACCGAACATCAGGCTGCACGGTAGCTCAGGTGCCACAGGTAGCCGGGTGAGGAGGGCTTGATGTGGGAAGGGGACCCTGCCCAGATACGCGGGAGCAGGAGCCAGGCTCTAGAGGAACCCCGGCCCCGGGCCTCGCAGTGAGCGCGTCTCAGGGCGAACTGGTGCGCGAGGCAACAGTGCTGACCAGTGGCCAACGCGTCAACTGCACGCGCCCAGCGCAGGGACAGACTTCCTCCCAGCTCCATCCTCATATTTGGCAGGAGTTGTATAACAGCATGGATATTGAGGGGAGGCTGGGACAGGCGTCGGGCGTGGGGTGGGGAGCCGCGGTTCAGGGTTTCTCTAGAAAGACCTTCCAGAAGGATGTAAAGGATTTATCCTCGAAGACCGCCTACGAATACTGATAACTTGTGGACAACCCCAGGCCCTCTCATTTCACAAAGTGTAACTGGGGCTCTAAGAAGTTGAGTAGCTTGCCCCAGGCCCCGCAGTGAGGTAATGACAGGACCTGGGGTTTTCAGGACAATCCATGGAGAAGGATTAGAATCAGTCACCTGATTTCCAGCCCATGCCCACAAAGCTCTCAGAGTTCCTCTGGTAATATGGGGTCCTTCCCTAAGCCTCTGACTGCCCCACCCCATAGACTCTGGCCCAGGCAAGGTTTTACCGACAGCACTTGTATTAAAAAGGCGATCTCAGCTCCCACCACCCTGATGTTGTGGACAGCTTGGGTGTAGGGTGCCCGGGACCCTTTTCTCCAGTCCACGCAGATGCAGTTCACTTGCTCCACTGTAAACATTTTCTGTGGAAGACATTCAAGAGAGAGGCCAGTTTATGAACAGCCTTAGCATGCACATCCCTGAGATAGGAATTGATGTTCATCAAACACGTGTTGTGTGATGGAGTTTACAACCAATCCCTCACTTCCATCACTGCTCGCTGCAACCCTCTGACCTGGGTATACTTACCTCCACATACCAGATGTGGAAACTGAAGCTTGAAATAGGTAATTGTCTAAGGTCTCACTGACCAGAAAGACCACTTGCTATGTCAGTGGGCATACGACATCCCAAGGGCCAAATCTGTCTGTTTTTATAAATAAAGTTTTATTGGAGCACAGCCATGCCCATTGGTTTACATGTGGATAGAGACCTGTTTTTGCATTCTACCTGTGGGTTCAAGCTTGGGTATCTATTGAACTTTTTTTGTGTCTTAATTTCCTCATCTATTAAATGAGGCAAAAAAATGGTGCCATCCTTGCAGAGTTTCTGGGAGGATTACATTAAATGGGATATGAAAATGAATGACAGTGTTGGCTCTTATTAAGTGTTCAGGAAGTGGTTGTTATCCACATTGTTCACTGCTGCTGTTCATAGTAACATGAGAACTGTACCGTCCAGTACAGTAACCATTAAAGACAAGTGGCTATTTACACTTAAATTAAAGTGAAAGTAATTAAAAATAAACTAAATTTAAAATTTAATTCTTGGGTAATAACTCTCGCCACATTTCAAGTGCTCAGTGGTCACATGTGGCTACTTATTTGACAGTGCAGACAGACATTTCATCATTTCAGGACATTGTATCGGAGAGTGGTGCTTTAGCAGGCCAAGTTTCACTGTTTTTTTATGCCACATAGGGGTTGTATTATAAACCATGAGATACAACAGCGATGTCACTAGGGGGGTTTGGGGGGTACAGATGGCACTGGACCTCACTGTCAGTGGGAGTGACAATAAGATGTCTGTGTATGAAAAGTTGGTGCCGTATTTCCACAGAAATTTATTAGGTTTTATAAGAATATCCTGCAGTTCAATGTGGAAATAGTTTGCAAAATAATTTTGTAGTTTTTACCTATTGTTGTTGTTAAGTGCAGTCGAGTCGGTTCTGACCCATGGCAACCCTGTATAGGGTTTCCGAGGAATAGCTGGTGAGCTTGAACCGCCCACCTTGAGGTTCAATCGACTTTGCAGTCCAGCGAATTAACCCTCAGGACTCCAGTATTTATCTAGTTCATGAAATATTACATTTATTTCAGCAAATTACAACCATATTTCTCACATTATTCTATGATTAAAATCAATAGTACACATTACTAAGAATTCTGTATGGTATGGTATGGGAAGAGGTCTATGGAAGTGAGGGTGACACCAGGAGTTACTCCTCTGGGTGACACTACTTCTAGTGACATCATTGAGAGACAAATGCCACAGTCCTTACCTCTGGGACTTTCTAAGTGGACTCTCAGCTCTTCTGTCCCAGGGAGGGAGTTGGCTAGAAAGTGGTGGTTGGAAGAATTCAGGAGTGGATGCCTCTGAGAACCCAGGCTTTCTTGGCAGTTTTAGGAAGGACCTATCTCTCCCTGGAGTATTCCTTCCCCATCTCAGAGGCACTGAGTGATTTTCTCTCCAGGACTGTCCCTTACCTTGCACATGTCTGACAACCAGCTTTCTTCTCCTTTGTCTATGAAGCCGTGGATGATGAAGTGCGTCTTGCGGTCCGATCGGAAGTTTGAAGCCCCTATAGTATCCGGGTCGGTGGCAGTGATCAACTGATTTAATCGGAAAAGATAAATTTGAATGTTGGACTGTCCAAGCCACAGAATTGCTGGCCAGTCTCAGTAAGCGTAGTGGTTACGAAACGGGCTGCTAATCTCAAGGTTGGCAGTTCGAAACTACCAGCTGTTCCACGGGAGAAAGATGAGGCTTTCTGCTCCTGTAAAGATTTACAGCCTTGGAAACCCTGTGCAGGGTGACTATGAGTTGGAACTGACTCCTCGGTACTTAACAACAACAACAACTCAGTAAGACTCAGTCATGGTTTGACCACCTGCTCTAAATCAGGAATCTCAGGTCTGGGCCGCATGAACAGAATTCAGAAAGTCCAAGTTCATGGGCATTTTATTTTCACTCTCCCCTGACTGAAATCCAGCATTTCCACTCATGAAAGTAGACAACAAACTCCAGTGGTGTTTATTAGCAGCACCAATGGTACTGCTAGGCCCACTAAGCACTTAGATATATTCACGTTGTATCATGATTGTTGCAGATATCTCAAAATATCCTTTAGACTCATTGCTATTTTGTTTTATTTATTTCTCATACTATTTTAGATTACATTGGCTATCAGACCAGTTCCTGCCTCTTGTTATTTAACAAGGAAATATAGTAGCACATACATGTCTCTATTATTTATTTGTATTTTTAAAAAATAGTTTCATAGTTATTTTTCCATGTAATTTTCTCTGTAACTCTATGTACTCTGCTTTATGCCTTTAAGAACGTGATGCTAGGATGGTATCCATAGGCTTCCCTGGATAGTCAAAGAGGTCCCGGCACAGAAAGGGTGAAGAGTCTGTGGTCAGAAGCATGGGGTGTGAGGGCAGAGCCAGCCCAGTGGGGCTGTGAGGGGCAGTCTTGAGTCTGTGAGGCCTGAAAATAAACCACTGTCAACTGGGCTCTTTCCACCACCCCACATGCACAAGGCACTGGTCTAAGGGGCAAGATAACAAAATGGAAACAGCTCAGTGGTCATGACCACCAAGCAGACCCTCTGCCAAGGGCACTGAGCGGTTCTCCCAGTTGTTGCTGTTATGTGCCGTGGAGTCGGTTCCGACTCATAGCTCCCTGTACAGGGTTTCCGAGGCTGTAAATCTTTACGGGAGCAGAAATCCTCATCTTTCTCCCGTGGAACAGCTGGTAGTTTCAAACTGCTGACCCTGAGGTTCGCAGCCTGATTCATAACCACCACACTACCAGAGCTCCCAGTAGGTCACCTCAAAGACCTGTAGACACTGGAGTCTTTCAACTCTCATGGATGGGAGCTGTGAGCTGCTCAAAGTCTTAGCAAGCTCTTCTTTAGGTGATCTCGAAACTGTCCTCTAGTCACCCCAAACCACCTGGAGTAACCTGTCCTGCCTCCCCCCGGGAGTCCTTCTGGGAATGGAAGGCGCTCTGAGGTTTCACTGTCTCTTCTCTTTTGTGGTTCCAGGACCCTTCTCCCCGAATGGTCTTCTAGCTCCTTAGGGAAGGATTCACATCCCCTGAGGGGCCTCTCTCCTTCTTTTGAGCAGAGCTGGGACAGACGGAACCTCCTGGGGGATACATCAGGCCTGGGGTTCCCTATAAAAGCTGCTCATTCTTTCTCCCATACCCAACCCCAGACACCAAACCACGGCCATCCTGTCAGTTCCTACTCATAGAGACTCAAAGACAGAGTGGTACTGCCCTTTATGGAAGCCGACTGCTGTATCTTTCTCTCCAAGAGCAGCTGGTGGACTTGAACATCCAACCTTTTGGTTAGTAGTCAACTATTTTAATCAATACACTAGCAGGGCTCCTCCCCATGCCCTAGAACAGGTTTTTCACTCCTGGAGTCTTTGCATAACTGTGAACACGTACATCCATAGATTTCATGAGGGTTTATGACTCCAAGAGCTAAGATTGCGAGGGAGCCATAATTTGGGACATCCCAAGGCAGTGAATTCTGTAGTAGACGGTTCCAGTAAAAGTTCCAGTGTGCAGACCCTCACCCACCCACCATCCAGCCATTTGCCAAGCCCATGCTTTGTTGTGAAGTGCCGTTGAATTGGTTGTGACTCACAGAGACCCTGTATAGGGTTTCCAAGGGGCGGCTGGTGAGCTTGAACCCTCCAACCTTGCAGTTCAAACGGCTTTGCAGTCTGGTGCATTAACCCACAGTGCCACACCAGGACTCTGAAACCCATGCTTACTTGGTAGTTATTCTGATTCTCATTTGTGTACAGAAGAAAGCGGGTGTCAATGTCTTTGGGGGTCCAGGGGAATATCTTTAAAGGTCGCTGAAGGGTCCCAGCCCATGGTTTTTCGTTAGAAAAGCAGCCAAGATGTTCAAAGCAGATCTCCTTCCCTGGGGCAAGAAGAGACAGATATGACAGATGTGACAGATATGGCAGATGTAACAGACATGGCAGACAAGGCACATATCAGTTATAAAGATGGAGTCCAGGTCTGGCTGAAGCCAAATGTTCCCCCACTTTTGTGATGGTAAGCATCACCTGGGCACTGGGAGGTGGGGGTCTGGGTGTATTGAATATGCACCTTCTCAGGACTGTCCCTCAGAGATACGGACTCAAAGTGCCTGGCCTGGGAAAAGACATGTTTAATCAGGACCCTGGGCAGTCAGGTAAGTAAAGACATCACCTGGCCTGGGAGTGACCTTGCGGGGGAATCACTAACACAAAGGAAAAGGTAGGAAATGCCTGAGGAGCAATGGACCCCCACTTCTGCTGTGAAAACAGGGTCTCAGGGGTCAGGAGGAAGAGGTCAAGAATGAGTCGGGGCAAGCCCAGGCCCAGAGACAAAGGGGGTGGGACTAGGATGCAGAGGAAAGTCCTGGCTGGGACAAAGGAGACCAAGTCTGATAGAGGAGCATGTCTCTCAGCGGGTTTGGGGGGCTCAGGCCAGGCAGTGAGGAGATGAGACCAGAGATCAGGCAGAGGCAAAGAGGGCCTTTGAGGAGTTTGGGGGAGGGACAGGAAGTGAACAGACTGTGGGGAGGAGCAAGAAGGGGATGTGGGTGGCAGGGGAGATTAGTTTTGTTTTCGGACAAATAGAAGTTGGGTATCAGAATCTCTTTGGGACGGAAGTCAGGGAAGAGGGAGCCATGGGAGCTAGAAAGCACAGAGCTGATAACAGTTGGAAGTAGAGGCGGTGGGCAAGATGGTGGGCTCTTTGGGCAGGGTATGGATCTCTCAGGGGGCACTTTCTGGTGGCTTTAGCCTGTGTCCTGCACTCGCCCACATGGAGGGTTGGAAGATGTGGGGGACCTGGAGGAATACCTCATCCTCCACTGCCCAGCTACCTGATGCCTCCTCGGGATACCCCCTCCAGTCATTGACCCGTGCAGAGGCAGTGAGTGGACTGAGCATAAGATTACTATAGAACATCTGTGTCGAGCACTGCACTGTGTAGACGTTGCTGACTAGTACAAGTTGTGCTTTCTCTTGAACTAAAGATGATATGGATTACATCTCAACGTCAAGAAAACAAAAATCCTCACCACTGGACCAATAAACAACATTCTTATCAATGGAGAAAAGATTGAAGTTGTCAAGGACTTCATTCTTCTTGGATCAACTATCAACACTTGCGAAAACAGCAGTCAAGAGATCAGACGACGTATTGCATTGGGCAAATCTGCTGCGCAGGAACTTTTTAAAGTATTGAAGAGCAGAGATGTCAGCTTGAGGACTAAGGTGCGCCTGACCCAGGCCATGGTGTTTTCAATAGCCTCATATGGATGCGAAAGCTGGACAGTGAATAAGGAAGATCGTAGAAGAATTGATGCCTTTGAGTTGTGGTGTTGGAGGAGAATACTGAAAGTGCCATGGACTGCCAAAAGAACCAATAGATCTGTTTTGGAAGAAGTGCAGCCAGAGTGCTCCTTGGAGGCCAGGATGGCTAAACTTCGTCTCTCATACTTTGGACATATTGTCTGGAGGAAACAGTCGCTGAAGAAGGATGTCATGCTGGGTAAGGTGGAAGGTCAGAGAAAAAGAGGAAGACCCCTAACGAGATGGATTGGCCAGGTGGGATCATTGATGGACTCAAGTGTGGCAGCAGTAGTGAGGTTGGCCCAGGATCGGACATTGTTTCGTTCTGCTGTGCATGGGGTCGCTATGAGTCGGTTCCGACTCGATGGCACCTGACAACAACAACAAAGATGATACTATCAATAGTAATGGCTATTAGGATGCTCTTGGCATCCAAAAGTCAGGCCCAGGACTGTTCACACTCTTCTCGAAGGGAGGGGGTGGTGTTCTCACCTCTGACGGTGGCCAGCAGGAGAAAGCCGAGGGTCCAAGAGGTCAGCATCTACATGGATGAAAACAGACAGCTGCATGCTCTGGCCTGAGCCTGGTAGGGCGGAACCCTGGTTAGGGCAGGAAGTCCTGGTCGGAAACACAGAGCCCACAGGAAGCGGGCTGTACAGGGCTGGGATCCAGGACTCAGAGTTTGTCCAACTTCTGGTCCAGGCCCCCCTGGCAGCTAGGCTTTCGCAGCCCGCTGTCCTGTCAAGCTCCCTGCTGTCCCAGAGTCCCACACTTACTGTTAGGCACCAGAGCGTCCACTCTTGGTCTGTCTGTCTGGAGGTGACCTTTTATAATCAGGCTTTATCCTTTGAACTTTCCTTAGAGGAAGGGGCAGGGGACAAAAGGTAGGATATGGCATAAGTATAAGTGTACTTTGAACCTCACCTTTATAAATACACGAAACCTGCTCAGTCAGGAACAGAGCTGTTTATATAGTGAGATTTGAGGAAAGGAAAAGCAACTCTGGGAAGGGGCTCTGTTAATCTGAATTTACATGTTCAGCTGCCAAAAGATTATGTTTCCAGAGGGATCTCAGATAAATCCCAGGGTAAAACTCCTCCCATCGAAATCCCTTGGGGAACATGGAGGACAAATGCCCTATAGCTGTTGACAGACCTGCAGGAAGGACAGACTGACGACTTGCTAGTTGGTGGCTGTGCATGTCTATGAACACACACACCTTGTTTATTTGGGGTGGAGGGTGGAGGGCGGCTGTGCATGTTTGTGAAGACACACACCTTGTTTATTTGGGGTGGAGGGAGGCTGTGCATGTCTATGAAGACACACACCTTGTTTATTTGGGGTGGAGGGTGGAAGGCATTCCCTCAGAGAACTTAGTGCTGACTTCTGCAGTACGTAGACCAATGAACTTAAACAGAGAATGAAAATGAAGGCAGTTATGTTGACCAAGAAGTTTGAAAGAATAAAATGAACACTGTCTGAATACAACTTTGTTTAGCAAAAACTATCTGTTATGTGTTATTTTAAGCTGTCACCTGTCAGCTGACCACACTGTGATGACTTGCAGATTACTGTCATGCTGGAAGATCACTACGCTATCAGGGCTTCAAGCAGGATCATCCGTATCAGTAGAGCTTCTAGACTAAGACAGAATAAGAAGAAAGGTTAGATGATCTACTTCTGAAGCTGGGCTGATGAAATCCCTGTGTATCACAGCAAAATATTGTGTAATATTCTGGAAGAAGAGTCCCCTAGCATGGAAGACATTCAACAGACACACTGACTGCAATAATCCACTCCGGCTTCACAGAGACTGTGAGGCTGCCATAGGACTGGGCAGTGTACATAACTTTGGCTGCACATGGGCTCTTATGAATAAGAGCCAACTTAATAACAATTACCAAAAACAATGGTGTTGTTCTTTAGGATAAGCACTGGACTGCAAGGTCAGCTTGAACTACAAGACTGGTGGTTCAAACCCACCAGCCACTCCTCGGAAACCTTACTCAGGGTCGCTATGAATCAGAACTGTCTCAATGACACTTAATGCCACCACCACCACCATCACCAGTATGTATTTTAAAGTTGTGGGTCAGGTGTTGGGCTGTTAACCTCAAGGGCCACCGTGATTCAAATCCACCTGCTGCTCTGTGGTAGGAACACGAGTCTGTCTGCTCCCAAAACAAAATTTACAGTCTTGGAAACCCATTTAAGTCAGGATACCCAGGGACACCTACTCACATAAGTGGCCAGTGGTGTTTCATCTGGTCAATTTCAGCTCCAGAAGGTGGAGCTGAAGAGAAGGGCAATATTTACAGTTCCCTTAGGCAAGAACCAAGACTTGTTACTCGGAGGCTTTGGGGGAGGTGGGGTGCTTTCTGTGTGAAGTGCTAAGGGAAAGATGTGGTCAGTCTGCTCTCAAGGACTCACTGAGGCAGATTCACTCAACAGAAGGAAACACTTAGCAAAGATTAGAATGATTCTGAAATACAATAGGGTTTTGTTGGTAGGCAGTGAATTTCTTGCCTCATCTGAATGACATTACAGTTTGGATGGAGAGAGACAACGGAAGCCAAGCCTCAGGTAAGGGTTGACTTTGGTCAGTCCTGGAGACTATGACGTGGAAAAATGATGCCACCTTTCTTTTCAAGCAAGAGTCACCTCTTGGGGTGACTTTAAAAAAACTCCTCTTTTAAAGAGGATAAGAATTCACCCAAGAGGCAATGCTATCCAAACAAACACATCTGGGGAAAATATCATCTCAAAGACAAGTATTGAGCTGTAAAATAATTAAGAAATAGTTGCTGTTGTTGTTAAGTGCCATTGAGTCGGTTCCAACCTATAGTGATCCTGTATAGGGTTTCCAAAGTGTGACCCATGAGCTTGAACTACCGACCTTGAGGTTCAAACTGACTTTGTAGTCCAGCACTACTGCCTTTCCTGTGGATCTCAGTTTGCTGATCTGTGAAATGGATGGAATCTAGACTGATTGAGGAACACTGACTTTGCATCAGGCTGACCCCTACCTAACAAGGAGTGGGAAGCTGTGCAATGGTGGTCAGGGGTTGGGGCCAGACCCACAGGAGTCCCAGAGCCTGACTGGTGTCTTTGGTGAAGCTGGTCAGGGAGCCAGGGAGGCATGGGAGGAGGGAGGGAAAAGGCTTCCCACTTGTTTGTAAAACCAACATAGCTCAGCTCAGCTCAGCTCAGCTCTCCTCTCCTCTCCTCTCCTCTCCTCTCTGGGGCGCCCAGAGAAGGCTTGACCAGCTGGATGCCATGGGAAGGAGGTGAGTTCCCGCACCTGTGGAAAAAACCCTTTTCCAGCCCCATGGTCACAGCAACCAGGGTCAGGCCTTATGAGTTCTGCCAGCTGTTACAGCTGACAGCCTACCAGGAGTGGGGTGACTTGGGTCTACCTTTTTGTGTACCCTAACTTGAGACCTGTTGAAACTGCTTCTTCCTTGTCCTTAGAACACCTTGTATTTATTTGCCCCTAGCCAGGTGTGGCTGCTGTCACCTCACTTTTACCAGCCTCCCAGTCGCTCCTCTACTTTATGCTGGGAACACTCCTCGTTGCCCTTAGATGTAAGATGCCTGTGTTTGAATCCTCATTCATTCACATTCCTGTTTATGTGGTTACCATGCACCTGGAACTCTCCCAACCTGAGGGCACCACAGTGAACAAAACACCCCGCTTGTGGGACTGGTGGTCCTCGGGGACCCAGCTACTGACCCACATGTAAGTAAATGCATAACTACACCTTCACCAAGGACTGAGAGAAGAACCTGGGAGGATGGCTTGTCTGTGGGTTTCATCTAAAGAGAGTAACTTGGGGGATCAGCCTGGAGAAGGGTCTGAATTTGGGGAATGTCCCAGCTCCTAAGCCCAGTGAGCGCAGCTGGCCACTTCTGGTCAGCCCCTCTTCTGCCTTAAGGCCCCCATTCCCACCTTACAGATTCCTCAGCACCAAGGGTTCAATCAGGAAGCATGCCATCAGCAGATCCCCCTCCTCCTGCCAGAGGTGTTGTCTGCATCTCCTGCCTGCCCTCAGCCCTCATTGCCCCTGGGAGAGCTTTCTTTCTCTCCTAACCCTCCATACTCATGCTCCTCCTTGGTCATAGGATAAGCACTCGACCATAAGGTCCATTCGAACTGCAAGGTTGGCAGTTCAAGTTTATAGCCACTCTTTGGAAACCCTATATAGGGTCACTATAGGTTGAAATTGACTTGATGGCACTTAACAACTACAACTACAGGAAGCCCTGGTGGAGCAGTGTAAAGTGCTCAGCTGTTGACAAAAAGATGAAACCCAAACCTTTTGCTACTGAGTTGATTGAACAGCTTAGAATTGTCCCCTAGGGAGTCCTGGTGTGGCACTGTAGGATAAGCACTCAACTGAAAGGCCAGCTTGAACCACAAGCTCAGCAGTTCATACTTGCTCCTCGGAAACGCTCTACAGGGTGACCATAAGTTGGAACTGACTCAAAGTCACTTAACCACCACAACAGCAATCTTTACAGAGGCAGACTGCTCATCTTTCTCCTTCAGAGCTGCTGTCACTCCTACAACCACTGTGCTCTTTATGTTAAGACTTCAGCCTTGGAGACCCTGGGGGTCTCCAAGTTAATCGGAATTAACTCGATGGGTTTGGTTTGAGTTTTGTCCCTCCTCGCTTCTTCCAGTTCTGTTTGCTCCTCCATCCCTGGCCCCAGAACTGTCTCTCTCTGCTGTCACCTGCTATCTCCTCTATGTTGTCAGCCCCAGGCTACAATCTCCAAGACTGAAGTAAATACACAGAGTCCTTCCTGACTAAATAATTCTTACAGTCCCTGGAGTGTTCCCATTGACCTCATTTGAGTAAAGAGAACTCAGGAGACAAAAGGCTTATGCCAAATGATCACAACATAGGGAAAGGTTTGTCTCTGTAACAGACAAAAATAGAGGTCATCATCAACATTTTGAAAATACAAAATTAATAAATTCTCAGAGAAGCGTATGACAGAGGAGCCCTGGAAGAGTGACAGCTCTTGACCGAGAATGTCAGTAGATTGTCACTTGGCTGCACATGAGAATCCCAGGAGTTTTCATGGTTGTTTTCTAATGGTTTTATTGTGACTTGAGAGATGGTTTACATGGGAAAACATTGGTTTTACATTCATTGTTTCATTGCACTGATTAAAGTCTCCTCTGTGCATTATCATTCAACAGTATTTGCTTCTATACTCTCTGTTTTATTTTGGGGGGTGGTGGTGGAGAGATGTACACAAAAACACTCAGGAATATGTAATCATTTAAACAGCCAAAGGGTACATTCTGCAAGCCTGCCTCCTGGTCACCAGCACACAGCCTTTCTCATCCCCAGGGGTTTTAACAGTCCCTGTGTGCTGTGACTCAGGAGCCCTGGTTGTTGTCGATAAGTGCCGTTGAGTCAGTTCTGACTCATAGCATCCCTGTATAGGGTTTCTGAGGAGATGCTGGTGAGTTTGAACCACCGACCTTGTGGTTCAAATCAACCTTACTGTGTCCAGTGCTTATCCTTCAGCACCACACCAAGA